ACACACACACACACACACACACACACACACACACACACACACACACACACACACACACACACACGACAGGCACACACACACACACACACACACACACACACACACACACACACACACACACACACACACACACACACACACACACACACACACACACACACACAAGCCGCACGTTGGTGTGAATGGGACGGGCAGGGCTGTAGTGCACTTGGGTGGGCGCTGTGGATACCCCGTGGACAGATGCACCGTACACATGTGGCGGCGGCCCGCCTTGTCGATCACCTCAAGCTTCAAACCGTGGCCCAAAGGGGACATGCGTTCAGCAAAGCGTGCACGGGTGTGTGAGTGTGTGTGTGTGTGTGTGTGTGTGTGTGTGTGTGTGTGTGTGTGTGTGTGTGTGTGTGTGTGAGTGAGTGAGTGTGTGTGTGTGTGTGTGTGTGTGTGAGTGTGTGAGGAGACAAGGAGGTATTCAGGAGAGGATGAGGCTTCATCTCCCTTGCGTTGCCCCCTCTCCGGTCTCCCGGGCTCCTCGCTGACGTTGCGATCCAGGAACACCTCACCTTGACCTCGTGGAACGAGTCGGATATGGCTGTAATATGCTGTGGCCCGATGGCCTGCAGCTCCGTCAGCAACTGCTGCACCGTGGCTGAGGACGGCCCTTCATTCAGCGCCCGCGAACTCACCTGCAGAGAGAGTGAGTGAGTGAGTGAGTGAGTGAGTGAGTGAGTGAGTGAGAGTGAGATGAGAGACAGGGAGCGAGGGTGAGAGCGCGCAGGGCACACACACACGGGCGCGCACACATACAGTGTCCCAGCCCTTGTCTTCACCACCGCCTCTGCCTCCTTTACACTTACGATGCGCTCTGTGAGTGTTTCCAGCTGCGCAAACACTTGTTCGGGCTCACTGCTCGACTTCAAAATGCGCGCCACTTCTCGTTGTGCATCACGCAGCAGCTCCTCCAGCCGCCACTCTGGATACAGCCTGTCATGAACGTGCGGCGTGTATGTGTGTCGTGTATGTATATATGTGCGTGTGAGTACATCTTGTTGGTGCACCAACAACAAAGCGCTTCACAGCCTCAGCTCATCCCATACACAATCCCAACACCAACACCAACACCAACACAATCCCCACAGCAACAGCAACGAAACCCGCACTCTGTCTTTGTTGGAAGCCATGTCAGGGTGAGCCAGAACTGTCCTGCCGACGTCTCAAGCACACCAGAGTACCTTGTGTTGCATTGTGTGTTTTTACATGTGCATGTGTGAACGTTTGAACGTGCATGGTACAAAGGTCAGATCATGTGCAGGTGGCGGCGGTCCACTGTCCGCTCGCATCCACAAGCACATCTGAACCACAAACCTGTTGTGTCCTTCCTGTTCCACAAGCAGCATCTCTTCCGCTGAGTCAGCAAAATAAAATTGGTTGTGTTTTGGTGACGCTGCTGTCAAACCTGACAGGCGGGCCGCCGCAAAATTCAAATCCGTCAGCCCGCAAAAACTGGACGAGCGAGTGGTTGTGAATGCAGCCACCAACAGCACCCACCAACCAACCATCCACCCACGTCCACACACACACACACACACACACACACACACACACACACACACACACACACACACACACACACGCCACACACACACACACACACACACGCCACACAGCCAACACCGGGTCGAGCACTGCGCTGCTTGACAAAGAAGAACTTGCTCCAACAACGATAAAGCAAGCGGGGGCGCTTGTGTGTTTCGCATCGGGGATAGCAACCCAGCTTTTTCTCTCTCCCATCGACAAGCAATTTGCTGTCGTCGCTGGTGCTGAGCCGCTGGAACAACAACGACAACCACAACTGCAACGCCCAATACACACACACACCCGTCCACACGTAGCTGTACACGTCCACAGCCACACACGTCTACACATAGTTACACAAACGCACACCCACGCACACGCCCACAACACCAGCCATGCCCATCACAAACTACCTCAAGACGGTTCCTGCCAAGCTGCAGGAGGTCTACGATGACAAGCTGGCCAACTATGTGGCCGAAGAGTTTGACACCAACATGACCTATCTCGAGGAGATCCTGCCCGAGATTGCCAAGCACTTTGACGCGGCACAGCAAGACAACCACACCTCGTGAGTGCAGTGTGTGTTTGTGTGTGTTTGTTTGCTTGTTGTGTGCATGTGTGTGTGTTTGTTTGTTATTTGTGTGTGTGTGCGTGCACGCGCGCGTGTGTGCATGTGTTGCTGTGCATGTTGTGTGCTTAGCATGTGCGTGGAGGAGATGTTGCTGTGCTCCCCTTTTGGTTGCATCCTTGCATCCACACACGCGTCTTGGCATGTTCAGCACGCACTGACACAAGTGTTCATCTGTATCACCACCATTCCCGTGTTGTTTACACATGCCAGACATGCTGACGATGAGGAGCACAATGATGATGACGCCTCCCATCACGAGCGAGTGGTGCTGCCAAAGACGCCATCACACAAGAAGCGCCAGCGCCCGCGCTTTGCCGGACAGAAGAAGAAGATGCCTGTTCTTGACGACAACGCAAGCTCACATGAGGTGGGTTTTGTGCTGGTTGTTCATGCGTGTGTGCGTGTGGGCGTTTGTTGGGGTCGAAGGGAAACATCGATCGTGGGTGTCTTCATCACACACACGCACATACACACATGCACACACACACGCACGCACGCGCGCGCGCACACACACACACACACGCATACATGCACACGCACACGCACGCAACGACACACCCACACACCCACACCCTCTTACACACTTGCTCACACATACGTAACTACTACAGCCGTCCCCGATTCGCACGCGCGCGTCTCTGCTGTCGGGCGCACTCAACAACTCCACAAACGCATCGCCCTGCCACCTCAATGGCGGTCGTGCAAAGCCCAAGCGCGCAGCCGCCGTCGCCGCCACACAGCGCATGCAAACCCGCGCCTCAATCGCTGCTGCTGCTGCTGCAAGCAATGCCGGCACACCCTCCCCGCGCAAGGCCGTGCGCGCTGCCAGTACGTCATCGCCAGCACCCGCAGCATCCCCATCCCAAGATGATGCGCCTGCAACTGTCAAAGCAACGCGCAAGCAGCAACAGCAATATGCACATGCTGATGACGACACAGAGCACGACTCGTGTGCCACATCGACTGCTGTGACGTCGCCGGCAGAGTCTCACACGTGCTCTCCTGCATCGTCCCCTCTTGCATCATCAGCATCGTCCTCGTCTGTGTCGTCCACAAGTAAGCAGGGCAGGCGCAAAGCCACCAAGGCAGCATCACGCTCCAAGAACACACAAAACCGCACACGCAAGACCCGCAAGCAGACGTCCAAGAAGCAGCAGCAGCAGCAGCAGCAACAGCAGCAAGCGGACGATGACAGCGACTCTGACTTTGAGCCGGAGACGGCTGTGAAGCAGCGACCACGCCGCACAACACGCACGCGCGCAGGCCGCAAGAAGAAGGCAGCGGAAGAGACCGACAACACCAACGCTGCTGCTGACGTTGGCGAGTCGCCATCAGCATCAGCATCATCGTCGTCGTTGTCGTCGTCGTCTTCGTCTGGAAGTGGCCGCAAGACGCGAAAGGCAAAGACGGCCGCAATGAAGAAGACGAAGAAGGCAACAACCACGACCACCAAGAGCGGACGTACACTACGCGCCAAAACCACACGCAAGGCCACACGCGCTGCACTGCGATCATCGGTTGAAGAGTCTGCAACGGACACGTCATCTGCGTCGTGGGCATCCTCCCGCACCTCCATGGCGGAGAGTGAGTTTGCGACACCAACGTCGGGATCGCCCGTGTCATCTGCAGCATCAAGCGGACGCGTAACGCGCGCGTCATCTCGCGCCGGTGCGCGCCATCGCACCAACAGCAGCAGCAGCAGCAGCAGCAAGAAGGCGGCTGGTAGGAAGAGTGCATGTGATACCGAAGAGCGCGTCGTAGATGAGGAGAGTGATGAGGAGGCTGTGTCGACAGTCACGCGCGTGCAGCCCAACCGTCGCCGCATTGCTTCCATGTCATCCTCAGACGAGGATGGTGACGATGAGGCAGAGGAGAACGAGCAGAGTGACGACAACAGTGACAACAATGATAACGATGACGATGTTCGGGTGTCTGCAGCAACTGATGCGACGACGGCCGCCGTGCGCGAGGAAGTGTCGCCATCAACAGCCAGCAGCGTCTTTGCCACTCCAGTTGACCACACAACGGCGAGCTCACGCCTCGCTACCGCTGCTGGTGATGCTGACACGACAGTTGCCAACACCGATGAGAGCGTCGCTTCAAGCGCAGCATCTGCGGCAACAGCAAACAGCAGCGCAACCATCTGTGCATCTAATGCATCCACAGCTGCTGATTTGTCCTCCGTTGATGATGCTGCCTCCTCTTCGGCAACATCATCGTTTGTGTCTGTGGATGAGAGCGATGAGACGACACCTGCTGCGTCTGCCGCTTCGCTCCTGTCCACGACACTCGACAGCACGGCCACCACGACAACGACAGCCACCACCGACGCTGACACCACCACCACCACGACAACGACAACCACGAGAGGCTCCACGCTGAGCGAGGACACAAGCACAGCGCCATCGCGCAACGCAAGCATCATCAGCACAAGCAGCCGCAACACGTCAATGGCCTCTGCTCGCGAGCCATGCACACCAACGTCGCGTGTTGCAGGCGGCAGGAACATCCGGCAGGAGTGCCCCACGCCATCCACGGTAAAGAAGACAGGCCAGTTTACGCCCATTGCCAAAACAGGCACGTCCTCCATTGCGCGTGGGCGATCGAGCACGCAGCGCACGAGCTTCCGGCAACTGGAGAAACTCGGCGCCGTCAAGCAGCGCCTGCAGAATTTGCAGCGACAGCATGAGTTGCGGCAGCAACGGACACGCCAGTTGTCGCACACACCCACCCCTGGTGGAGGCAAGGGCCGACCAAAGCCCAAGATTGATCGCACGGCGCTACGCAACATCCCAGAGGATGACGTCATGCGCACGCCCGTGTCGTCTGCAGCCAACCGGGTGCGCTCCCGCTTTGGCGAGGCAGCTGACAACGCCACCAGCAGCAGCAGCAGTGCTGATGGCACGGATGCTGGCAACACATCGGCCATGTCGCTGTCGTCGTCCACTTCCTTCTCGTCTGCCGTGTCGTCGTCGACAGCCGGTACTTCATCCACGTCTGCGTCTGCTGCGCGTGGTGCTGGTGTTGGCGCCTATCGCTCCCGTCTGGCATCGGGAAGCAGCAGCGTGTATGGCAACCGCGCGCACCCGCGCATCCCCTCCGCATCCAAGTTTGGCGACAGTGACAGCGACGCAACGGTGCAGGCCTCTGACCACACCAACAGCACCAGCAGCGGCAGCAGCAACGCGGGCAGCGCTAACGCGGCCTCCCGTCTGCCTGGCAACATGTTTGCCAACGGGCCGCTGGGCAACGAGTCGCACGCGAGCAGCAGGCCCGGTGACATGTCATCGTCTTCGTCCACGGGTGTGAACAGCACCAACAGCAGCCGAGTTGTGGATGAGGCGTGGACCTCTGGCCTGTCGCTGTCATCATCGTCAGCATCGTCATCCTTCACCTCTGGCAACAAATCCAAGCTGCCAAGTGCATCTGACACCAGCAACAGCAGCACTGGCAAGTCTGGAGAAGAGAATGTGACGTCCTCCATGCTCATGTCATCGTACTCGTCCATTTCGTCATTCGCCGCCTCACAGGCCAAGTCGCTGCTGCGCGCGTTCTCGTCGGACACGTCTGCCACGAGCGACCAGGAGGCAGGCAGGACCGCAAGTCCTGCCGAGTCCTCCTTCTCGGACGATGGGCGGTTCCACCCGAACGCGGCCAAGCGGAAGAGTGATCCCGCTGAAGAGAGCGAGAAGCGCGCCAAGGCGAGCACCCAGACACGTGCAGCACCACTCTCCAACATCGTCAGGTGTGTGTGTGTGTGTGTTATGTGTGTGTGTATGTTGTGTGTGTGTGTGTGCGTGTGAGGGAGGGAGGCGCTTGAGGGCGCTTTCTTGCGTCGTATGTGTATGTGTGTGTGTGTGTTGTTTTGAGATGTGTGTGTGTGCGTATGTGTGTGTGTGTTACTGGTTTCTTTGAAGCAGCTCACAGGATTTGGTTTTTGCATTCATCGTTACAAACCACACCTTTGATAGGCCCAGCAAGGCTTCAAATGCTTCGTCTTCGAGTGCAAACGGCCGTGTGGTTCCGGGCAACTTGGCAACAAAAGCGATGTCGTTCATCAAACCCAAGACCGCGCCAAAGCCGCAGCAGAAGCCCAAGCCACAGATCAAGGCAGTGGCCCAGGCACAACGCGCAAAGGAGGCGCAGGAGAGGCGGGCGTAAGTTTGCATACATGTGGGTGTGTGGGGGGGGGTACAACGTATGTTCATGCATGTACGCAAGAATGCACGCTTTGTGTTGCAACTCACTGGTGTCCTCAATTGCATGTTCATGTGCAGGCGTGAGCGCGAAGAGAAGCGGAAAGCAAACGAGGCCCGTCGCCGCGCACAGCAGGAAGCGCAGGCACGACAGCAGGCCAAAGAGGCACAACGACAGAAGCAGGAGGCCATGGTATGTGGGAGCCGGCTTGAGAGTGAGTGAGTGTGTGTTGTGTGTGTTGTGTGTGTGTGCGTGTGTGTGTGTGTGTGTGTGTGTGTGTGTGTGTGTTGTGTGTGTTGTGTGTGTGTGTGTGTGTGTGTGTTGTGTGTGTTGTGTGTGTGTGTGTTGTGTGTGTTGTGTGTGTTGTGTGTGTGTGTGCGTGTGTGTGTGTTTGTCGTTTTGTTTGTTCTTGATGCTCACATGCTCCCATGCTTGCTGACGGTATGCCGTAGCGTGCTGCTGAGATGAACAAGTTGCGCAAGGAGAAGCAGCAGGCTGATCAGCTGGCAGCAAAGGCCGAGCAGGTGCACTTGTGTGTGTGTGTGTGTGTGTGCGGCGGTGAACAGTCGTTGTTGCAGGTGGCGTGTTGTGTACACATTCTTGCTCACTCATGGCGTGGCATGTATGTATGTCGTGACTTTGTGATAGAACCGCCGGTTGCGCGAGAACATGAGTCAGCAGCGCGCAAAGCTGAACGAAAAGCAGAAGCTGAAGGAGGAGCAAGAGAACAAAGACCGCCCACGCGGACTCCGCAATCTCGTGAGTGAGAGAGGGTGCGTGTGAGTGTGTGTATGTGTGTGTGAGAGCTTGGGTTGCGTTGACTGAGTGTCACTGTTGCTGCAAGTGTGCCGTGTCCTCTTACACGCCGCCACACCTCCAACACCAACATTATGCAGACACAGCACCAGCAGTGGGCGCCATCATCGCCTGTCGTTTCGCGACCGGAAGACAACTACGATATCAGCGGCATGCGCAGCGACGACGACACAGACGACGAGGTGCGTGCGTGTGTGTGTGTGTGTGTGTGTGTGTGTGTGTGCATGTAAGAAGTGGCGAGTGTACGCTTTCCGTACTTATCATTTCTTGTCTCCACCTGCTCCGCCTCACACCTCCACCGTCACCACCATCCTCATCACGATGACTTGCCCTCCCCTCAGAACGATCCCCGCCATGCCGTGCCCTCGTGGGCGCGCGACCACGCGCTGCGCACAGCGCTCATTCGCCAACACAACGCGGGCCAGAACCCGTACCACATTTTCCCGCCAGACGACTTCCAGCCCATCAAGCTCTCGGAGGTCTTTCCAAACCACTCCAAGCCAAGGTAAAGGGGTAGGGTGTTTGTTTTAGTGTTATATGTTGTTGTGACTGGTTGTTGTGGTTGGTAGGTTGCTGTGGGTGGTTGGTTGGTTGGTTGGTTGTTGGTTGACAGGATTGGGTGCGTGTACATCAGTGTTGAAGCGCTTCCCCGGATCAAGAATTCAACGTGGCTGCTGTGGTCCGTGTGCTCACACGTGTGTTTGTGTGCTGCTTACAGATATGAGAGGCGCACGAGTTCAGCGCTGTGGGAAAACAGCCCACGCAACCCCGGCTCGCTCCGAAAAGTGCTTTGAGCCGAGATGTGGTGGTGCTTGTCTGTGGATGTCCAGAAAACAGAGTTGCTTGCTTTGTACGTTTGCACGTTGAATTGAGTGATAGTTGCCGCAATGTTGGCTGCGTTGTGTTGCTTTCAGAAAGCCTCGTTGGTTGAGGAGAAGATAACAGTGGTTGGCGTGTTGAGTGAGGGTGAAAGGAAGAGGGGGTTTGGTCTTTTTTACACAATGAATTGCTTTCAATATGAAACACACGTGAGATGGTGTCACGAAGAAAGCAAGGCTGGGAGCGAAAAGGGAAGTGAACAGACGAACTTGGGTTGAAAAAGTACGCAAACAAGCAAAGCGTCACAAGTTACCTACCACATCAGTCATCACCACCTTCATCGTCATCACCCCCATCACCACCATCATCACCACCATCATCATCACCTTCATCACCTTCATCACCATCATCCGCAGCATCCAAGTCATCGTCCAGATCAAGGTCGAGGTCGTCGTCTTCACCGCCGCCGCCGTCTCCCGTCTCTGCAGGCACAGCAGGCGCGGCTATGGTGCGTGTATGTGTGTGTGTGTGTGTGTGTGTGTGTGTGTGTGTGTGTGTGTGTGTGTGTGTGTGTGTGTGTGTGTGTGTGTTGTGTGTGTGTGTGTGTTGTGTTAGTGTGTGAATGGAAAGAAAGAAGGAAACAGGTGGTGGGTGTGAGACGAGCAAGCAGGGACAGCGTTCAGGAGCATGGTACATACCTGGTGCCTGCGGCATCTCGCCTGTCTTCTTGTACAATCGGTACGACTTGACGCCAAGGGACTGTTTGGGGGGAGTAACGGAGGGCAGTGTTGTCGGTGATGGCGTGGGTGAGGGGGAAAGCGCCACGCACACGTGCGCTCGGAGGCTGCAAAATGTACGTATATGCAACACGTAAACGTTCACACAGAGAGAGTGTGTGTGATGATGTAGACACAAGTGAACGAGACGGTACCTTCAGCAGATCCTTCTCTCGAATGTGTTCTGCATCTATATCGGCAAGCTCCTGACGCTGTCCGACCAATATGCGCTCAAGGCCAGTGTCAACAAGCTCCTGTGACGGCAAGAAGATGGAGGGAGGGGTTTGGGGAAGTAGGGAGGTGGGGAAAGCGGTGAGGACAGGCTGCGCATGCAGACCCGCGAGCATACCATGTTTCCCTCATGCCCGCAAGTCTGTGCGTGTGGGCAGACATGTAGGCGCACAGAGAAGTGCAGACACACACACACATGTGCACACACACACACACAAGCGCGCGCACACACACACACCAGCACACACACACACACCACATACAAGCGCGCACACACACACACCACATACAAGCGCGCACACACACACACATGAACACACAAGAACACACAAGTACACACACACAAGCACACACACACCCCACATACAAGAACAGATACGCACCAGCAAGCCACCGCCGTAGCACTTGTTGATTTTGGGTTGTGCGCAGTAGTCGACAGAGCCGTTGTCCTGCAAGTCCATGGCAATGGCAAGCGTCTCCATGTTGTCCTTGCTGTGTCCAAACTGCGTGAACACGTCCACAGCCTCCTCAACAGACACAGATCCACTTCCTAACAAGGGGACGCGAACGAGGGGAGGGGAGAGGAGAGAGTGATGGCGTGTTAGCCATTATCAATCTCACAGGGGTGGCTGGGAAGACAGACGATTGCATGCAGAGATGCATGCAAGCGGTGGTTTCACACAAACGCCCACCAACCACAAGGACAGCAGAGCAAAAAACACAGGTACTGCTGTGCGTGTTGTGACTGACCAATCTTGTCGACGCCACGAAGCTCATCAAAGACGCGGGCCACATTCTCCTTGAACCATTCGCGACAGGGCTCTAGCCATTCCACAGACAGAAGGCTCTCGTCTCGTTTGCGCGACGCTGTGTCATCGATGATCTGCTGCATGCGCAGCTGCAAAACGCAAGCGCATCACGAAGCAAGCGAGGGGCGTGGATAGGACATGAATCAGGGGGTGAGAGATGCATCGGTGAAGGAAACATGCGGATCATGCACGCAGATGGACACCAGCAGAAACAGGAAACGGCAACAACAACAGTGGGTGTGCTGACCAGTAGTGGGTCGGCGGAGGAAGCAGACTTCTTTCCCTTCTTTCCCTTCTTCTTTCCCTTCCCTAATCATGCAGGCGTGCAGGAGGTTGAGAAGCAGCAGTGAGGTGGGGCTGGGGTTGGGGGTTGGGAAAGAAACGCACATGATCGCACGAACGCACGTCTGCACACGAGCACGCGCCTGCGTACCTTTCTTCTTTGGCATGGTGGGGTTGGTGGTGGATTGGCAGAGGGGTAGAAGGAGAGAGAGGGGGTGGGAAGAAGGTAGAAGGCTGGTGGTGGTGGCGGGAACCGGAACGGGGAGAGAGCAAGAGAAAACACCAACCGAGCAGGGAGGTCTGGAGGTGTGCGCCAGAAAAGGAGAGCAAAGGGAGAACAAAAACGGAAAGGAGAGACAAGAAGGGAGCAAGCACGCACAAAGGGGAGCAACAGAAGCAAGAAGGCGACACTGCAACAGGCTACGAGCGACGTGTAGTGGAGCGTAGAGTGCAAGAGTCTACATAAGAGAGTGCAAGACACAGCACAGCCGATGGGCAGTGAAGTCAGTCCAGCCACACTACCTAGGTAAGGAGGGAGCGAGAGCAGGACTGGGAGACTGGGAGACTGGCAGAAGGAAAGGAGGGAGGAGGGAGGAGAAGGAAAGTGCAAAGAGAGACGGTGGTTGGTGCTATGTGTGGTTGTTGGTGGTGTGGACGTTGAGAGTGAGTTGAAGCTTTTGTGACTTTGTGACTGGCTTGTGGTAGGTTGTGCTTGTGTGGTTTCCAAGGCAAGAAGCAAGGCAGGCGATTGGGAGGAACAAGAATGGGAGGAGCATTCATGTTCGCAAAAAATCGCACGAGAAGCAAGGAAGCGCAAAAGCCTCCAGTCGACTCCGTGGCGCAATTGGTAGCGTAATGGACTCCAGTTCCATGGGTTGCGAGTTCGAGTCTCGTCGGGGTCACGGTCGATTTTTTTTCCTTTTTTGCGTTTTGCGTTCAGCAGCAAGAACTGCAAGCAAAACAACAAAGTGCACAAACAACTCACCGACTGCTGTCTCGCACACAACTAACAACAACACAGCGGAAGTGTGCCGACCAACTGAGCAACTGCTGCCTCCCAAGCAAGCAAGCACCAAAAGAACTCAATCCTGTCTACCACCACCCACAGCACGACAGCACAGCACACTAGCACAACCCGCAAGCGCAGAACACCCGCAGCGGCAACCACAAAACTTTATCAAAAGATAACTCTGCTTCTGAGGGCAAACCAAACAGACACAGACACTCACCAACCAACACCAGAATACCAGCCATGACTGCCCTCATTGATGCTTGCGAAGCAGGAGACCTCGACCGCGTGAAGCGGTTGCTGTTGCTTGCTTGTCTGTGTGATCGCCGCCCTCCAGCAAAGGCAGTTGTCGCCTTGACTACGACCAGAGTGGCGTTTCGACATGAGGACGTACTGTGGGTCTCTGGGTCTGTGGATGCACAGTATCATAACGTGGGAGGTTGTAACAATGTAATGTGCAGCAACAACTGCACGTATGCGAACAGTAGTAAACGAAGAAGTAAACGCAGCAACTGATCGATGGATGAGAACCAAACGCAACGACATCTAGGTATCTCAACATGGTGTCAACAACACGGTGAACGGCGGAAAAGGCAACAGAGCAGTGGAAAGATGAAGTGATGTGAGATGGCGCCATCTCACGTTTCACAGCACCTCAAGTTGTAACGTAACACGTGCACAACAAAACTCGCCCACAGCAGACAGGGACAATGACGCTCACAGTGACCAACAGCAGCACACAGGTGCCCTGCAAACGCAACTAAGGGAAACACAATGCCAGTCGATGAAAACCACGCGAGCACCAAGGGCAAGGCAGGCGCACAGATATCCTGATCACGCAGTGCTACTGTCAGCGTGATGCTTCTTTGCCAAGCGGATGAGCTTGTTCGCGCACCCCATCTTCACACCCGTGGCCATCAGCACTTTAACTGTGAGAATGTCCTCCGTGACAAGGTCGAGCAAGTCTTCAATCGAGTGGATGCCGTGCTCTTCAAGTGCCAATTGCACGTGTTCCAACAGCGAGTGGCGGGTTAGCCACGCCGTCAGCTCTGGCTCAAATGGGGAGGAGGAGGAGGAGGGGGAGGAGGGGGATGGAGGGGCGGGAGGTGGTGTAGCAAGGATTGCGGCGGTGGTGGAGGAGGAGGAGGAGGAGGATGACTGCAGCGCAGATGAGCAAGAGGGTAAGGTGAGACACGGCGTGGGCACCAAAGCGAAGGCGACAAGGAAAAGGTATGAATGGACATACATTCACGCACACATGCACACACACACACACATGCACACACTATCACACCTGCGTGGATCGCCGTGCAGTTGCTCCTCCATTCTTCGCTTGCTCCTCGCTTCTGGCAGAAACTACAACCTGGCGCACTTTCTCTGCAATTTCATGCAGCTGCGACCTGCGGTCCACAGCGGCATCCAGTGCAACCACGGCGTCAATGTCAAACAGGGACAGTACCACTTGACGCACGCTCTTGTGCCGCTGTGGCGGTGGCAAGTGTAGCACCTGCGTGAAATACTGATCGAGGGCTGCTGCTGTTTGCTTGCTAACGGCATCTGGCAGCGTCATCGCCAACTGCTTCATGTTGTCGCGTGAATCGTACTCGCCCGCTTCCGCCCCGCTCATGCCGCTGTCGTTCGCGTTGTGCCACGTGCTGCCAAGAATCACGGGCACAATGCGATGGAGGCGGATTTTGGCGTGCTGCTGCTCCTTCTCATCTTCTTCATGCGCGCGCTGGTACTCGCGCAGCGCCAGCATCGTCATCCACTCCAGCAGCACGTTGTCGCAGTAGTCGCTGTGCTGCAGCTGCCTCATCTGCATGATGGTGGCAGCAGAGACAATGGGGCAGGCCACCAGGCTCAGCCCAATCGCTGTCATGAACGACAACTTGAAGTTGAGGCCCGTCTCCAGGTTGTTGGCGTCCAGAAACGCAACCAGGTTACGCTGCTCCAAGCGCGGATGCAGCGCCACCAGCCCACTGCTGGCCCGCTGCCTGTGGTGATCGTGGTGGTGGAGGGAGAAGGGGGATGAGCGGGGTGTTGGCGTGGGACGATGACACACACACACACACACACACACACACACACACACACACACACACACACACACACACACACACACACACACACACACACGGCGCACACACACACACACACGCACACACACACACACACGTACACACACACACACACACGTCTCACCGGTAGCTGATGAAGACGTCGTACTTGTCCTGCAGGCCAAGGACTGGCAGGAGGGGCCTATACTTGGTGATCAGGTCATCGGGTGACAGCAGTTGTTCGTCCACCCACATGTCCTGCTTGCTCTTGTGGTGGTGCAGCACATCCTCGAAGAACAGCAGCGTCTTGTCGTCGAATGGCAGCAGCAGGTTGCTCTTCAGCTCGGGATAGCGCTCTCTGGCGGCCTCGCTGATCATGGTGGGCAGCATGTGCAGCATGGCCCGTGGCTGCGCGCTCGTGATCTTCATTTTGATGCCGCCAACAGCCGGCACAAGCTGCAGCTCAAGCTTGGTCGACTCCATGAAGCAGACGGCGTGGGTGCGGCTCAGCTTGGGCTCCTGTGATGCGCCGTGCTGTGCGTGCGCCATTACATGCGCCAACACCACTGTGAACAGTCCTTCTGGCAGGAACGACGCGTGCTGTGCGTGCTCAACTTGCACGCTTGCACTTTGCTTGAACTGCTTCAGGCTGAAGGCGACATACGCTGTCTTCTCCTCGTGCCCAACAAATGGGTTGACCTGCTGTGCTGCTGTCGTGCTCAGCGACACGGATGCCATCGCGCTGTTGTTGTGGCGAATCGTCATCGGCAGAATGGGTGGGACCAGGTACTGCTGCTCTCGCGCGCGTGTGTCAACACCCTCGCTGCCATCAGCACTATCACCGTGACCGGAGTTGGCACGAATGAGCGCTTTGCGGCTGTCGACCAGCTTGGGTGGGGAATACTCAATGCACAGCCCATACTGCATCATCAGGTGCAGGAACGGGTCAACCAAGTTGCTGTCCACGTCGTTCCACAGCACTTCCAGCAGGCGACGGTGCAGGATGCCGCGGTCAACGAGGTCGTCCCACAGCTGCGCGCCAACGGCCCTCGCCTCGCTATCCCGCACATCACGATGCAGGTCAAAGTTGCGGATGACGCGCGTCATCATGTCCACAGCCCACTGCGGACTCAGGATCACATAGTCCTCCATGCCAGGCACGCTGTCATAGTACAGGACCATGGAATACAGGTGCAGGAACTGAAGGCAGGCTCTCGTCTCCCGACGTGTACGCAGCCCACATGTGCGTGCAATCTTCACCACCTCGTCAAACGTGAGCAGCGGCCGTTTCTCGTCGCGGGCAATGGCGTTGAGCTTGTCGTAGAGGTGGAGGTATGGCACAGCCACCTCCTGGCTCACGTATTCCTGCCAGTGCTGTGGAGGAGATGGTCTGGCGCAGGTCCTGAATCACGGGGCCATTGGACTTGGTGTTGTCAACGGGCCAGAACCACAGACCGTGCTTGTCGTTGTGAATGACACCAGGAAAGGCTGGGTTGTGGCGCAGGCGACTGTAGATGTCGCGTGAGATCTGCTCGTGCTGCTTCCGCTTGCTGACCACATCAGCGAAGGTGCCGACGATGAGGCCGGGTGCACCCTTGGCGTGGAGGTGAAGGGAGGAGAGCCAGTGCTCCATAAACTCCCACGTCTCTGCCCGCTTGCTCTCGTCTTGGTGCAGCAGGTCCTCCATGGAGAACACCAGCAGGTACACCGCGTGCCTGGTGTGGGAATGTTTGGGCGGGGTGAGGTGAGGTGAGGAGGGGAGGGGAGGGAGTGGGGTAAGTGGGTGAGGGACAGCAGTGTCGTTCCCTGGTGCTCCCAACGCACAACAGCATCACGATACAATGCCACATTGTCAAATCAGAGACACAACACACAACGTGTAACGCAGCACAGGATATCCCCACATCGCACTTGCCTTGTGCACACGCATATTCTTGTCGGTTTGGTTGACGTCTGCGCCCTGTTCAAGCAGAAACCGCACAATCGCCTCATGGCCGTTCTTGCTCGCCACGTGCAACGGCGTGGCACCCTGAAGCCAACACACCACAGGCACAGAGAGAGAGAGTGTGTGTGTGTGTGTGGGTGTGTGGTGTGTGTGGTGTGAGAGAGAGAGAGTGTGTGTGTGTGTGTGAGGGAGTGTGTGAAACTAGAGATCAGCAACACACTCACTCACTCACACACACACACACGCGCGCGCGCGCGCAGTGTCAGCAGCAACACAATAGCGCGTGGAGAGGTTCGAGTCACAGAGGAGAGGTGTCACACGCCTGCGCCGATACCGCTACCAGCACCACCACTGCAGTACGCACGACAAGCTACCAGACACCCAGATGTCCAACAAATCACAAGGGGACTCTCACAGTTTTGTTTCGCTCGTTAACGTCTGGCTTTGCTGCGCCCTTGTCCGTGTGATCACCGCCCTCCAGTAGCAACCGCTTCACGCGGTCGAGGTCTCCTGCCTCGCAAGCATCAATGAGGGCAGTCATGGCTGGTATTCTGGTGTTGGTTGGTGAGTGTCTGTGTCTGTTTGGTTTGCCCTCAGAAGCAGAGTTATCTTTTGATAAAGTTTTGTGGTTGCCGCTGCGGGTGTTCTGCGCTTGCGGGTTGTGCTAGTGTGCTGTGCTGTCGTGCTGTGGGTGGTGGTAGACAGGATTGAGTTCTTTTGGTGCTTGCTTGCTTGGGAGGCAGCAGTTGCTCAGTTGGTCGGCACACTTCCGCTGTGTTGTTGTTAGTTGTGTGCGAGACAGCAGTCGGTGAGTTGTTTGTGCACTTTGTTGTTTTGCTTGCAGTTCTTGCTGCTGAACGCAAAACGCAAAAAAGGAAAAAAAATCGACCGTGACCCCGACGAGACTCGAACTCGCAACCCATGGAACTGGAGTCCATTACGCTACCAATTGCGCCACGGAGTCGACTGGAGGCTTTTGCGCTTCCTTGCTTCTCGTGCGATTTTTTGCGAACATGAATGCTCCTCCCATTCTTGTTCCTCCCAATCGCCTGCCTTGCTTCTTGCCTTGGAAACCACACAAGCACAACCTACCACAAGCCAGTCACAAAGTCACAAAAGCTTCAACTCACTCTCAACGTCCACACCACCAACAACCACACATAGCACCAACCACCGTCTCTCTTTGCACTCTCCTTCTCCTCCCTCCTCCCTCCTCCCTTCTGCCAGTCTCCCAGTCTCCCAGTCCTGCTCTCGCTCCCTCCTTACCTAGGTAGTGTGGCTGGACTGACTTCACTGCCCATCGGCTGTGCTGTGTCTTGCACTCTCTTATGTAGACTCTTGCACTCTACTTACTCTACGCTCCACTACACGTCGCACATACGTCTACACGTCGCTCGTAGCCTGTTGCAGTGTCGCCTTCTTGCTTCTGTTGCTCCCCTTTGTGCGTGCTTGCTCCCTTCTTGTCTCTCCTTTCCGTTTTTGCTCTCCTTTTGCTCTCCTTTTCTGGCGCACACCTCCAGACCTCCCTGCTCGGTTGGTATTTTCTCTTGCTCTCTCCCCGTTCCGGTTCCCGTCACCACCACCAGCCTTCTACCTTCTTCCCACCCCCTCTCTCCATCCCAATCCACTCCATCGCAACTGTTCAATGGTAACGGGGCGAGCTCGGTCAACGACGAACGGAAGAATGGAAGATGAAGATAAAGCACACCTAAGCAAGAGAGAGTTGTCAATGATGTGGGGACCGGGCTGCGTTGCAACAACGGAGGGGAGAGAATAAGGCACAACCTAAGGGGTAGAACGAGCTGAAGTGGCGCAGAAACCAGTGCGGGGAACGGGCGAATGTAACAAGCGGGCAAAAATCAGGCAAGGCAAAGGAGGGAAGCGAAATGAAACGAAGGGTGACGGGGTAGTGCGCGCTGTGGCAATGTTTGTGCGTGCAACCGTCATTGTTGTACGTGTGAGGCGCAGGTTCAGCTTGGGGTCAGGGCGTCACAGCCTCGCCGAAGAAGGACCGTGTAAGTGTGTTCCATGCCACCCTCCTCACCTAATGCATGCGAACAAGTGCGTTTGGGCACGTGTGAGACACGGGCAAGATGGACGTTGCGCTGAACATGAAAAGGAAGAACACGGGAGGCAAAAGACCAAAAAGAGCAAAGATCTCGACACACACACACACACACGCACGCAAAATACTCACTCTGGACTGTGAATCGGAAGGCAGCCTGGGAGGTTGGCTCGATGGAACGAACAAACGACTCCTGTGAGAGCACGACGGCATCAGAGGAGTGGGTCTGCATGACACCCTCGCAGCCAGCCGTCCACTCCTAAATCCAAGCGCAGCCGTATCAGTAGCCGTCGTGGTTCAAGAAGTGACCTCAAAATAAATTACAGTCAAGTCCCATCACGAGTGCACACACACACACGCACACACACACACACACACACACACACACACACACACACGCACACACGCACACACACACACACAGACACACGAACGCACCTCGACGAGGGTGAGGGTTGCATCTGGCCAGAAGGGGCGGGCGAGGATAACGGCGTCAACGGCTTGTGTGTCGAGTGCGGACGGAGCATCCACAATGAGCGCATATGTCGGCACGTCGAAGCGCCAGGGCGTTGCCGGGACGATGGAGAATGAGTCAGCAGGGATGGCGAGGGCCTCCACGTTGGCCAGATACGCGTTGCTTGACGTGGGAAGGGCGCACCTGACGAGCATAACACGGAGCCCGTGGATGAAGATGGGAACACGTGGATGAGGATCGGTTGTTGAGACCGCGAACAAAACGATTGGAGCAAAGGAATCAAGTTTTGGCACGAACAGAGAGGCGGCAAGACCAAACAGAGCCACAAAGAGCAACACACAGACACACACACACACACACACACACAGACAGACACACACACACACACAGACACACACAGACACACGCGTACAGGTGTCCGTCCCAGCCAGGCTGGCAGGCGCAGGTGGAGGGGGCGGTGCTGAGGGTGCAGTTGGCACGGCCTTGGAAGCAGTAGTCGCTGCACCAGTCGTAGTTGCTGGTGTAGCACTCATTGAACTCATTCACGCCAAACGCACACACGCACTCCCCTGCAAGCAGTGAACAATGCAACGTGAGCCAACGCAGACAAACACACATATTGCACCAAATGAGCAAACACACACACGCACACACGCACACACACACACACACACACACACACACACACACACGCACACACACACACATACACAGCGTCATCACGCACCATCAATGCACGTCTCGTGGTCGCCACAGCCGCCAATGCACTGCACGGTGGATGGACGTCAAGCAAGAGAACACAAGCGTGTGAGATTGGCAAAAAGCATAGTAGTTTCAACCCTAGCACACACACACACACACACACACACACACACGCACACACGCACACACACACACACACACACCGTCGTCGTGCTGGTGGTGGTTGACGCAGCGGTGGTAAGGGCCTGCGAGACAGACGACAGAAAGGTGGAAAGCGAAGCAGTAACGATCGTCGTTGCTGCCACTGCCGCTGTCGTGCTCGCATCGCTCAACCCTGTTGCTGCTGCTGTTGTTGTTGTTGTTGTGGAGAGAGCACCGACGCCATCAGCCACGCCCATGCCCAGTGAAACGGTCGTGCTGGTGGATGATGTTGCGTTGACACCGTGGCTGCCACTGTTACTGCTGCCATCGTCGCTGTTGTCGTTCGAACGAATCAGAACAGCGACGCCAACAGCCAAGACAGAGGCAAGCAGCACACACAGCGTCAGCCACGCAAACATCTGCAGATACGGAAACCGCTTGCGATACACGACAGCCCCGTCACTCAGTGTCGCCTGTTCGTATGGTGGAGGACTTGGCTCTCCCCACAGCGCTTTCGTGGGCGGAGGGCCTGTGCCAGTGCTGGTGTTGGTGCTGCCACGACGGCTGTTCCCGCCATTCCCCTCCATGCTATCGTATGCATACCCGAACCCATGATACACCTCGTCATCAACACCGCTGTGGGTGCTCTCGTGGCTCTGGTGGCGGCGATGGCGGCGGCGGCGGCTGATGGTTCGCTGGCGAATGCGCTGGTTGAGCTCCTCCAACTCCTTGATGCGCAGCTCGAGGTGTTGTGTCATCTTTGACAGCTCCTGCACGGCGCCTACGCTCTCCATGAACACGCGGTCCTTGTTCACCACCAGCAGGTCGTCAATCTCCGTGCCGTCGTCAAGGGCAACGTCTCCGCAGGACTGCACTGCGTCAGGGAGGACTTGCTGCAGCTCTTGCGCAACCACGCCCATCTCGTGTCGGTCGTCGCTGCTGCGCCCGGCCTTGCGGGCCCATTCCTCCTTCAAGTCGTACTCGTACAGGGTCATGCGGTTGACGTTGTCGAGGTGCCGCTTCGTGCTTGCAGCGTGGATGTTCTCCTTCACCCTCTTGTCCGACGTCTGCAGCAGATGTCCAGTCACCCTGCACGAGCGTGCGTGCGTGCGTGCGTGTGTGTGTGTGTGTGTGTGTGTGTGTGTGTGTGTGTGTGTGTGTGTGTGTGTGTGTGTGTGTGCAAGTGAGTGCAAGTGAGTGCGGGTATGTCGGCGTGTGCGGTGGCAAGATCAGTCGTGGCGTCTCACCCGAATTGCCTTTCCCTAACCCTTCCCCAACACACACACACACTCTCTCTCTTTCTCTCCTCCAACCCACCAAGCCCTTCCTCGCACTGACCTGATGTTGCCGGCGACGGAGAGCGCTTCCTGCGGGTCATCGACGTTGATGCCCACCTGGCCGTGGTGCACAACTGCCGACTGGGCCTTGCCACGGCTCCACTGCGTGTCCACCTCGCTGCTATATTGGCCGGGGTTTGACGCGCGCACGATGATGCGCTGGCACTGCGCGCCCTGCACAACCACGCACTGCCCAGACGACGTGTGTGCACGCAGCATGACGGCAAGCTTGAAGTAGCGCTGGTCCGGGTTTGGTTTCCCGCGCTTGCGCATGTTGTTGGCGGTTGTGGAGGTGAAGTGGAGGCGGGCAAGCCTGTGCACGCGGCGCCCCAGCAACTCTGCAGCCGATACAACCAAGGGCTCGAACGAGGTCTTGGTGCGGTCTGTCTTGCTCTGCTCAATCGCAACAAGTTGCTCGTGGGCCTCCAACTGCAGCAATTTGAATATGTGTGTGTGTGTGTGTGTGTGTTGTGCGTGTGTGTGTGTGTGTGTGTGAATGCGACGTGAACATGGTGAAACAAAGCAGCGGTCGAGGCGAGATGCATGTCACATCATCACAACAACAGCGCACACCACACGATTAACACACGCGTCCCCATGCGCACAGACCACAACAACAGCCCTCAGCCCCTGGTCGTCCTCACCTTGAGGCCTGTGACGGAGATGGAGAGTTGAGTAACGTCGTGCAACGTGTCGTCAATCTTGACCGTCTTTGGCTCGCGGTCGCACGCCACCAGCACAGACAGCTGCATGCGCAGGGATGGTAGTTGTGTGCGTTTGAGTCGTGTGTGGCATGGGTTCAAGCAGGCCATCAAGTTGCTCCCCGGTGCGCTGTCGCACACACACGCACACAGACACACACACACACACACATACACATACGCACGCACAAGTGAACACACACTCTCACACTCTTCGCTCACCTGAAAGTGGTTCTTCTTCTGACACACAAACGCCTCGTCCATCGGGGAGTACGAGAAGCCCTTGTCCGCGCGAACCTGCAACGCACACACACACACACACACACACACAGAAGTGCGTGATAAGTTGGCGAGTGAAGTCTGTGCCGCGATCACACCCACACACGCACACACACGCACATATACGCAACCACCCCCCCCCCACACACACACACACGCGAACTCACGTTGACGGTGAGGGGGATGTGCCTGCCTGCAGCGTCAAATACGGGACAGCGCTCTGTGTCGTCGCTGGTCTTGAAGACGAGCATGGGCACATCAGACGGTACCTCCCCCGTCATCTCAAGCAGGTCCTGGGTGTCTGTGGTTGACCCTTTTTTCTTGCGACCACTGCGTCCCCCGCGCTTCTTGCCCTTGCCTTTGCCCGTGCTGCCCCGCCCGCCCTTCGCAGAGCTGCGTGAGGCAGATGTGATGCGTGCGCGCTTGTGCGTGTCCAGCCCACTGTTGCTGCCGTCCTCATCATCGTCGTCGTTGTTGCTGTCGCCGTTGCTGTTTGCGCTGTTGGTGCCGGGCGGGGAGGTGGCAGACGCAGACGCCGACCCCGATGACGAAGATGACTTTGACGAAGACGACACGCGCGCAGCTGCAGCAACATGCCGCCGCTTTCCCGTATCTGCAGCACGAATGGCATGTGTGTGTGTGTGTGCGTGTGCGCGCGCGCGTGTGTGTGTGTGTGGCGGGGTCACACATATGTGCACGCGAAATTATTGTCTATCCATCCAAACTATCTTCCTTTTCCCTTTTTCCACATAACGACACAGAACACTCAGCAACACAACAGCACAACAGCTCAACTCTACACCAGTCTACCCTTCTACCACCTTAAGACCTTACCACCGCACCGTCACCAGATCCCCCACAGCACAAACATGCGCACGAACCGCGTGCGGTGGTGTCAAAGGGCTGGAGGTGCAGGGAAGATGCAGGCTGAGGAAAGCCCATGTGCGCCATGCCCGATTGATCTGGAATGCCATTTCGCGGGTGTGGCGGTGTTGGTGGTGGTGGCGGCGGCGGCATCTGCTGCCCAGAGGCTGCGCTGGTGTTGAAGGCTGCCTGATAGAAGGCGCCCGGGGCGATGGTCGAGTGGGACGATGCGGGGTGCTGCTGGTGCTGCCTCTGCGGCGCACTCGGGACATACGCGTGCGTCAACGGCTTGGGCTGCTGCTGGGAGAGGGGCGGCTGCTGGTGCTGGTGGTGTTGCAGCCGCGTGTCAAACGGGAGCGAGGTGCCGAGCTGCGGGAAGAAAGGCTGCAGCGGGGGCGCAGGCTCCTCCGTGCCGTCCATGTCATGCTCGCCAGCGAGTGTCAGCGACATGGTTGACGTCGGCAGGTGCTGGAACCCTCCCTGCCCGCCGTCATCCTCTCCACCGTCGTCACCAAGAGCAGTGTGACCGTGCCCCGAGTGCCGGCCGAGGCGGTGTTGCTGGTTCTGCTGGTGCTGCTGCTGGTGCACGGCGAGGGCAGGGAACGAGGCGGCTACATCGTCTTCGAGGGACGATGGGTTGGCGTTGCCACCCAGGGTCGGGTCCGTCATGACGGCGCCTGCAAGCATCAGCGCCTCTGTGGATGCGGTGAGGGAGTTTGGCGCGTTGGTGACGCCCGTGCTTCCGGGGAGATTGAAGGTCTCTGGCATGCCTGTGTTGAGTGCCTCCGTGCTGTCGTAGAGGGGATTCGTCTTGCTCTCCTGCCCGAGAGAGTGCAGGCCGAGGTGATCCGCACCACTCTGGTAGTGGTGGTGGTGCTGATGCTCGTACTCTTGCTGCCTGCGATGCGACTCGTACAGATGGTATCGGTGCAAGGGAGGCTGGCGCTGGTGCTGTTGCTCTTGTTGTTGCAGTTGGTGTTGTTGTTGTGGCTGTTGTGGCTGATGATGGATGTGGGGGTGGTGTTGTTGTTGTTGGCGCTGGTGCTGGTGTTGTGGTTGTGGTTGGAATTGTTGTTGCAGAAGGGATGGGTGGCGAGGGGATGCGCGCGTGGAGTGGTAGGGCGAAAATGCGCTTGGGGTGGTCGCAAAATGGAGTTGGGAAGCATCTCCGGCCATGGTGGAGCTCGGCATGTGCGGCATGAAGTTGACTTCATTGCGCAGGCCTGACACTGCTGCACTTGCTGCGCTTGTTGTTGCAGTCGTAGTGGTCGTTGTAGTCGTAGTGGTGGTGGTGGTGGCAGCACTCTTGGTGCGTGCACCTTCGTCGTTGTTTCCTGGGGACGGAGTGCCTGTGGACGGCATGGACGTGCCAGTCAGGTTCTCGGACGATGGATCGCCCCTTCTTGTTTCAAGCACACAGCACAGCAAAGCAAAGCAAAGCAAAGCAACCACGACAGGACATGAGCCGCATGGGGACGCGTGGTGTCGAAAATAGAGAGTGCAGTGGGATCAAAGGAAGGCACCGCATTTGACACATGAACGTCAGCAAAGCCAAGGAAAATAGCAGCAGGAACAAAGCACTTTGTGGCACACTCACCGCTGAGTCGCCATGCCTGCGGGCAGGGCGTGTGTGTGTGTGTGTGTTGTGGGTTGGACACAAGCTCACTCACAACAACAACACAAGGTCGTTGTTTTGAGTGTGGTGTGAGATCTGGCTTCCTGCTTGTTGCTTGGATTTTGCCTGCAGGCAAAGAAATACACCACCAACTTCTTCCCTTTCCCTGTCCCTCCGTTGTCCTGAGAGATGAGGGCGGGGGGACGATAGGATGATGGTGATGAGCAACACACAAGTGCACCGCGGTGACTTTGAGATCCGCAACGAAGGATGCACGCCTCGCACACAAACACAAACAAAAACACACACCAAACAAAGGAGAGGAGGGTGCAGCTTGGCTGTTGAGCAAGAGGGCAAACTCAACGCGCGATATCCCCAGCCTCTGCAACAACAGAACAACAGATGACGGCAGGCGGTGCCTGTTAAATGCACATCGAATCCATTACAGAATAATCTGTTGTTGATGATGGAAGTTGTTGCGGTCATCATTGCCGGTCACGCTGATGTCACATTGTGCCACATCACACAACAACAACAAGCGGCAGTGAACACACAAGACACAAGACACACAAGAAGACACAACACCACACCCTACAGCCACACCCTACAACCACAGCCACAGCAACAACACTCAACACAATGGAGTGGGTGGCGAGGCTGTTTGAGGATGAAGGGCAGCTGCTGAAGGGGATTGGGTGGACGCTGCTTGGCGTGACCCCGGTGGTGTTTGGGATGCTGGTGAGCGGTATGCGCGCCGCCTATGGGCGATACTCCACAGACGCTGACATGACCAAGTACGGCTGTCAAATCAACGGCAAGGTGGCCTGGATGATCCAAGAGAGCCCTTGCCTGCTTGTGCCGGCCGCCCTCTACTTCCTGTACCCAAACGAGGCCTGCGTCTCCTCCACCGCCAACCGCATTCTTCTTTCCCTCTTTGTCGGCCATTACATCCACCGGTGCGTGTGTGCGTATGTGTGTGTATGTGTGTGTGTGTGTGTGAGCGTGTGTGTGCGTATGTGTGTGTGTGCGCGCGTGTGTGTGTGTGAGCGTGTGTGTGCGTATGTGTGCGTGCGTGTGTGTGTGTGTGCGTCCTTGTGTGCATGAACGTACTTACTTGTATGTGTGTGTGTGTCCTTGTGTGCATGAACGTACTTACTTGTATGTGTGTGTGTGCGTCCTTGTGTGCTGCGTTGCACTGCTACGCGTCATGAGTGCGCATCCTCGCTGCTTCACTGACCTCAAGCTGGTCCAACCCCAAAACAATTAACACGCTGTCGCCTCCCTCCCTCACCTGTCTCCGCCCTCCTCAGCACGCTCATCTTCCCCACATTCCTCAAGGGCAAGCCAACGCGGCTCATGATGATGCTGATGGCCTTTGTCTTCTGCATCTTCAACGGGTGCGTGCGCGCGCGCGTGTGTGTGCAAAAACATGGGGTGTGCTTCTGTGCCTGCAGATGTTGTCGCTTCTGTCGCATGTGTGGCGATGCTCTGATCCCCTGACCAGCTGACATGCCGACGTTGTCTGTACATATTGCAGGTATCTGCAAGCGGCGTGGCTGACGCGCGTGCATGTGTATGACGAGGCGTGGCTCATAGACCCACGGTTCATCGTGGGGCTGCTGGTCTTCTTCACTGGCATGGCCATCAACATGCACTCCGACTACACCCTCATTGGCCTCAGGAAAGGAAGCGACAAGGGCTACAAGATCCCTCGCGGTGAGCGCGCGTGTGCGTGTGTGCGTGTGTACATGTGTGTGCATTTGTGTGTAAGAGTGGAGCGGTTGAAGACATGCTTTGCTGCGCCCTGCAATCACAAGCACGCACCCATCTCTCTCTCTCCCTCCCTCTCTGTCTGGCGCGCGCAAAAATTCACACACACACACACACACACACACACACACACACACACACACACACACACACACACACACACACACACACACACACACACACACACACACACACACACACACACACGAACGCACGAACGCACGAACGCACGAACGCACATGCGCTACCCCTCTCATCTCCTCTCCCAGGCGGCATGTTTGAGTTTGTGTCTGGCGCCAACTTCTTCGGCGAGATTCTGGAGTGGACTGGCTTTGCCATCGCATCATGGTCCTTCCCCGTACGTCATAAAGGCTTGCATGTCTGTGTTTGTGTGTGTTGTGTGTGTGTGTTGTGAGGGGAAAGGGTTGCACAAGCTTGTGTGGCTGTTGTTGTTGTGCTTGTACACGCAATTGCTTTGTAACGAGCATCCTGCATGAGTCGCTTGCACGCACGCATATCTGCACAGCGCCCACTCATGCACAAGTGTTTTCCATCACCCCCGCAACAAAACAGGCCCTGTGCTTTGCCGCCTTCACCTTCAGCAACACTGCGCCGAGGGGATATCAACACCACCAGTACGTTCATCATCCACACACCAGGTGTGCATGGGTTTGTCTCACGACATACACACACACACACACACACACACACACATTGAGCACCCTCACTTTCCACACCCTCACAAGATATCACCACCTTACCTGACTGACTTGCAGGTGGTATCTGTCCAAGTTTGAAGACTATCCGAAATCACGCCGCGCTGTCATCCCGTTCATCTGGTGATGATGGTGGACACACGGACGTGTGTTTGTGTACATACAACACACACACACAGACACACACAGACACACACACACACACACACACACACACACACACACACACATACACACACAACGCTGCTTGTTCGTTATCGCCCGCCGAAAATAAATGGAAATCTTCATCGAATTTTCAAGCCAAAAGAACCGACAATCGCCTTTCTTGCTTCTCCTTCTCATTCATGTCAACACCAAGAAGCCCACTCCACTCTCTCGCTGCTGCTCTGTCATCCATATCCAGTATTTCGTGTCCACTCGCACCTCCCTTGGGGATAGCACACACGAGCATCACCAATAAGTCTGATACCAGCGGTGGTCTATTGACTCGTCATTGTTTGTTGTTGCCACTCCATTGCTGCAATTCAAAGTCAACGACAAGCACAAGCAGCGTGCTACTGACACAAGTTTTCATCGACAAACAGCCACACACACACACACATCAACAACAACAAACACAACGATCATGGCGGAGGAAGAACTTGTGCGCGTGCCCAACTTGGACGTTGCGCAGACCCTCTTTGAACTCTCCTTGCCCGAAAGCGATCAAATGGCGCTGGAAGCTGCCTTCCTCGACGCTGTCAAGAAGGACGGTGCGTGTGCATTTGCGCGTTTGCATTTGTGTGTGTGTGTGTGTGTGTGTGTGTGTGTGTGTGTGTGTGTGTGTGTGTGTGTGTGTGCATTCGTGTGCATTCGTGCGTTTGCATTTGTGTGCGTGCGTGCGTGTGTGCATTCGTATGCGTGCGTTTGCATCTGTGTGCATTTGTGTGTGTGTGTGTGCAATCGTGTGCATTCGTGCGTTTGCATCTGTGTGCGTGCGTTTGCATCTGTGTGCATTCGTGTGTGTGTGTGTGTGTTGTTCATTTATATCTGTTGTCGTGTTGTTGTACGTGCACATGTTATCTTCGCCCACTCATGCTTCCTTTTGCATCCTTTGTGTTGATCGTCCTCCTTCCTTGATTGTCTGGCGTGCATTCTTGCACAGGCATGGCGCCCGTTTACGACCAAGCGTGCAAAGACCACGACCTCTCACACGACGCCGCACTCAGCAAACAAATGCACGCTGACAGCGCCGAGAAGCTCAAGCAGCTGGACGCCAACATCAAAGGTGCGCGTGCATGAGCGCTTCGCCTTGGTAGAAGTGTGTGAGTGTGTGTACGTGTGTGTCTGTGTCTGTGTGTAGACCTGCGTGCTTACACATGCACTCACACGTATGGTCAAACACACGTTTTTATCCTCAGATGCGGAAGAGAACTTGGGTGAAACAGAGATTCGCGACGCATACATGGCAAAGGCACAACACTACGCGCGCATTGGCGCAAAGGTGCGTGTGCGTGCGTGTGCGTGTGTGTGCGCGTGTGTATGTGCGCGTGTATGGGCACGCATTTCCACACATGTCCACTTGCATGTGCACTGTTGCATCTGTTCCACTTTGGATTTTCGCCGTGCCCCATCGTGACCACCCCTTGTTCCTCTCTCCCGCCGCTCTTTACGTCTCACCCCTCATGTGACATGGCAGGAGGAGGCTGAGGCGGCCTTCCGTCAGGTGTACGAGAAGAGCATCTCTGTTGGCCAGCGCATGGATGTCGTCTTCTATCTCCTCCGCATCGGTTGGTTGTTGCTGCTGTCAGTATGGGGCAGGGGAGTACTTGTGGCTGCATGAGACGAGAACTGTCGGAGTTGGTGTTCGAACACGTACACGCGAGGCTCTCTCACATACACACACACACACACACACTCGTACGCGCACACACACACACACACACACACTCTCTCTCACACTCATACTCACAAACACAAACACTGTACACATACACACACACACAGGCTTCTTTTTTGACGACAAAGAGCTGATCACGCGCAACCTGGAGAAGGCCGAGAGTCTGCTGGAGGAGGGCGGCGACTGGGAACGGTGAGAACATACACACACACACACACACACACACACACACACACACACAGGCACACACACACACACGTGCGCTCATGAAGTGCCTGCACTTTTTCTTCTCCTCGCTGATACGAAATCGCAATGATTTACACTCCCTTCACACACACACACACACAACCACACATGATCCACCTTGCCCTGTTGTCGCGCAGCCGCAACCGACTGAAGGTGTACAAGGGCTTGCATCTGCTGACCATGCGCGAGTTTTCGCAAGCAACGTCGCTCTTCCTGGACACGGTGTCCACCTTCACGTGCGTCGAGCTGATGCCGTACAACGACTTTATCGGACTCACCGTCCTGGGAGCCGTCTTTGCTCTGCCCCGCACAGAACTCAACAAGAAGGTGCGCGCTGTGTGTGTGTGTGTGTGTGTGTGTGTCTGTGTGTGTCAATGTGTCTGTGTGTGTGTGTGCGTGTTAGTGTGTCCATGCTTATATACACACGCTCGCCTTCAACGCAATCTCATTCACCGTCTCCCCCCCCCGTCTCCAACGTTACCATCACCATCACCATCACCATCACCACCCCCTCCCCCAAATCTCGTTTGCAGGTGGTGAAGGGCCCCGAGATCCAAGAGGCGCTGCACGATTTGCCGCTGCACAAGCGGCTGCTGTCGTCGCTGTACGGGTGCAAATACGCCGACTTCTTTGCCGCGCTGGCGGAGGTGGAGGGCGTGTTCAAGACGAGCCGCTACCTCGCCCAGCACACGCGCTTCTATGTTCGCGAGCTGCGCATCAAGGCGTACCAGCAGCTGCTGCAGTCCTACCGCAGGTCCGTGCTGCTGGTGGTGTGTGTGGTGGTGGTTGGTGTGTGAAGGTGGTGTGCGTGGTGTGCTTGTGTGTGCGCCTCTGTGTGGCCCTGTGTGTTGTATTGCTGGTGTATGTATTGTTGCTCGTGTGCATTTGTCTTGCATTGTTTCGCGTTGGGATTCAGCACCACCGATGACTGCTGCCCGTGCCTCACATTCCCTTGACGCCTTCGTATCAATGGCAGCGTGACGCTTGCGAGCATTGCGTCGTCGTTTGGGGTGACAGAGGCGTTTATTGACGCCGAGTTGTCGCGCTTCATTGCGGCGGGGCGCCTCAACTGCAAGATTGACAAGGTCGCCGGCGTCGTCGAGACGACCCGCCCAGACCACCGCAACGCCCAGTACCAGGAAATCATCAAGAAGGTGTGTGTGTGTGTGTGTGTGTGTGTGGATGTGTGTGTGTGTGTAGATGTGTGTGTGTGTGTGCGAGTCAGAGTGAGAGAGTGTGCATGCATGAGCCATCTCTGTCCCATTGTCTGCTTCAACCACGACACGAACTCACGCGATTGTTCAAATCACCACCACCACCATCATCGCCACCATCATCGCCACCATCATCGCCAGGGGGACATGATGTTGAACCGGCTGCAGAAGCTTGGCCAGGTCATCAGCATCTGAGGCACCGCCAACCATTCAGCCCGTTCCACCATCCGTGTGTTCATGTTGCGTGAGCATCACTTGTTCGCCCCTCTCCCGTGTGCATGTGCGCGCGGTGTACTTGCTTGTTGTGTGTTGTCCTTCTCTGTGTGGTCTTGATTGTTGTTGTCCTTTTTCCGTTGTGCGTGTGTCTCCGTGTGTTGCATTGTTGCGTTTGTGTGACGTGAAGTGTGACAGCGGCAGAAGTACATGTGTGCAGTGCTGAACCTTCATTGTTTACTGCAAAGGACGGCACGCCGCCAAGGAGAAATTAACACCGCATCGTATCCAACCACGGGGACATGCCGCAGAGCATCTTACAACCCAGACACAGACAGAGAGAGAGACAGAGAGAGACAGACACACACAGAGACACACACACACACACACTCAGACACAGACACAGACACAGACACACACACACACAGACACACACACACACACACACACACACACACACACAGACACACACACACACACAGACACACACAAGAACGCCACCTCACTTGTGTCCCGTTTGCGGGAGTGTTGGCTTTGGCGCGGGCTGGCTGGAGGGGTGACTGTACATGAAGGTGGATGCGACAACGAGCATGGTGCCGACAGCAAAGTACATGGTGAAGCGCACGTCTCCAAGGAGGAGATAGGAGAGGAGGCCCGTGAGGATGATGGAGATGCTGTTGGCAAAACCCTTCAGGATGTTGTCGGCAAACCTGCAGCCGCGCAGCAGGGAGGTAAAAGGGGGGGGGGGAGGGAGGGAAAGAAAAAGTGGTGTGGGGGATGTAAGGACGACAACGTAGCAAGCATGATGAGGACGATGGCAGGCAAACAGACACAGACAAACAAACACACACACATACAGACAAACAAACACACACACACACACACAATGAGTAGAAACGGACTTGATGACGGCAGCGATGATGAGGCCGCCAAAGGCCTGGAGAGAGATTGCAATCCAGGTGACGGTGGAGTAGTACTGGAAGAACCCTCCCTCTGCCACGCGGTCACCATCGTTCACAACGACGCCAATCAGCCCGAGCACAATGGAGAAGAGGCTCAGCTGAATGTTGCGCAGCCACAGCGATTGCCTGGTGGAGGAGGAGGAGATGGTGATGGTGGTGGTGGCAATTACAACACGTGGGCGGAGGCACGGGTGAGTATTCATGTGTAACGCACGCAAACAGACACACACAGACACACACACACACAGCCACACACACACACACACACACACACACACACACACACACACACACACACACACACACACACACACACACACACACCGACCGACCGA